GAAAATACGCGCGCCGATTAGTCAACCATCATGCATAGAAATCGAGAGCGAATGATCTAATTGTTTTAATATAAATCTACTAGTCGTTCAAAACTTTATCTAAATCCTCTTCACAGACACTTCGAAAATGCCAAGAAGCGGCCGTCATTTTGTTAACAAGGACACACTGCTACGCTACTCACTATCTATCACAGAATAGCTAGTGAATAGCGTAGCCAATCAGAGAATGGAATTCGTGATAGAACGCCAGTAGATTTATACTAAAACTCGATAGAAACACGGTACCTTTTTTTCTATTTCTTAAATACAAAAGCAACTCTCACTTGAGGAAAGAATGGATGTAAGCTTTACTGCACCATGACCACTTCATAGTGCCGCGGCGATTTCTTGCCAGCCATTGCGGTGACATAAGGTGAGGTGTTGAACCAGCCGAGTCTGGGCACGTATTCCCGTCCCCATCATGATATGCACCTAGACTAATTGAAAGAGTAAAATTAGAATTGTGGCAGTGCTTTTTCCAAGCGAGATATATCGGAGACTTACTTGTGTCCAATTTCGTGCGCGACCGTAAACGCGACATTTAGTCCGTTGTCTTGTGAGACGCTGCATCGTTTTTGGGGGTCACACATTCCATGCAAAAACGCCATTCCTGTGTGGAACGAAAGAAATCTTCCTAAGTACAAGGAGTTCACCGCAAGTAAATATAATCAGAAAATGACTGAGAAAATATTTACCTACCCACAGTGTCACAAGCGGAGTAACGATTAGCGCATATATCTTTCCTGTCACAAAAAAGTGATAATCAAAGAAATTAGAATGTAGAACATGCAAATTTTAGAATGATATCATTTCTATTTCCTCTAAATTAACTTCCCCGATACTCTATTTTGCTATCTGTTTCTCGCTTATTCTTATTACTCTAGCATATCATTAAACAGTATTCTTTGTATCCCACTGTATCTCCTGCCTCACCTTAACGCCTATGTTTGTGCCTTAACTCGTCACTCGGACTATACCTCCAAACCATGACAATCCCTATGTTCCCTTTACTCATTTTTTCTTTACGCGTACTAACTTTACCACCTCCACGTTTAATTTGTTGCAAGCTGCAATATTTACTGCATTTTAGTTTGTTTTCATACCTGTGTAATAGCCAATTCCCTCTATGAGGCGTGTCTGCAGGGAATCATGGCAGTTGTATTCATCAAAACAATCATCCATGCCAAGATGCACGTCTCATGGAGGCAATTTGCCATTAGCTACTTTAAGAACAACTTTTATGTTCGTACAAAGGTTTAGCTTGCGAGCAAGCTCTCTCGGAGTAGGGTGATACTTCGGGGTGGTACTGGGTAGGGTGATACTTTGGGTCATGTTGCAGCTCTCGTAAGGTCTCACATGAACGGCTTGACACCCTTTGAGAGGACAATGGAGCAAACAACAGGAACAATGCACCTAGCCCCAAAAACAATAACAGCTGCTGCAATGACGACAAATAGAATTACAAGCTTACGAGAGCTGCTACACTACCGGTTACTTTACCCTACTCAGACTAAGGTAAAGCTCCTTTGCAGACTTATCAAAGTTAATATATGCATTCATTTTCTTTCAACAGGTCTATATTTTACTTTGCCCGACCATGAGTTGAACCTGGGACTTCCAACTGAATCTACCCCACCTCCATCGGTATTGAACTTGGATGCGTTGTTCAAAAGTGCTCGGGCTGGCATGGTAATTGTTAAATATAACAGTATAAAAGAAAGTGAATGGCCTCTGACACTTCAATTTTTACCCAAAATGATATTCTGCTTTCGTGTTATTTGTCCTATTTTTGCGCTTTTCCATTACTCTTCCACATCTTTCACAAAGGACTACAGTGGAACCTCGATTTAACGAACCTCTATTTAACGAAGTCCTCGATATAACGAACGATATTCTATGTCCCGGCCAAAGTCACAGTAAAATGTATGGAATAGAACCTCGATATAACGAATTCTTCGATATAACGAACATAATCCGGAAGCCCAAACGTNATATTTACCTACCCACAGTGTCACAAGCGGAGTAACGATTAGCGCATATATCTTTCCTGTCACAAAAAGGCGATAATCAAAGAAATTAGATTGTAGACCATGTAAATTTTAGAATGATATCATTTCTATTTCCTCTAAATTAACTTCGCCGATACTCTATTTTGCTATCTGTTTCTCACTTATTCTCATTACTCCAGCATATCATTAAATAGTATTCTTTGTATCCCACTATATCTCCTGCCTCTTCTTAACGCCTATGTTTGTTGCCGTAACTCATCAGTTCGACTATACTTCCAACCCACGACAATCCCTATGTTCCCTTTATTCATTTTTCTTTTACTTTTTCTTTCTTTTTACTACTTACTGCATTTTAATTTGTTTTGATACCTGTGTAATAGCCAATTCCCTCTATGAGGCGTGTCTGCAGGGAATCATGGCAGTTGTATTCATCAAAACAATCATCCATGTCAAGATGCATGTCTCATGGAGGCAATTTGCCATTAGCTACTTTAGAACAGCTTTTATGTTGGTACAAAGGTTTAGCTTGCGAGCAAGCTCTCTCGGAGTAGGGTGATACTTAAGCCTATTTAGAGTAAAGTGAAGCTCCTTTGCAGACTCATCAAAGTTAACATATACATTCATTTTCTTTCAACAGGAGGTCTATATTTTACTTTGCCCGACCATCAGTTCAACCTGGGACTTCCAACTGAATCTACCACATCTCCATCATTATTGAACTTGGATGCAATGTTCAAAAGTGTTCGGGCTGGCTATACGCGAGACGCCATGAATATCTATCGCACATGGTAAGTGTTGACAATATAAAAGAAAGTGACTGGCTTCTGAAACTTCGTCAATTTTTACCCAAAATGATATTCTGCCTTCGTGTTATTTGTCCTCTTTTTGCGCTTTTCCATTACTCTTCCACATCTTTCACAAAGGATTACTAGGTAAAAGCCAGTCTTTATGGCAAAAAAGGGCAGAGGATTCTTATGTTGACATCGATACACCCTCCTACTCTCTCTAAAACGGCTAACAAAGCCACAGGATGTATCAGCTATATTGGTTTGTGGCTTCGCCTATTACCTTTACACAGATAACTTGATTACAAAAACCTTAAGATCATAGGAACAATAGACCACGTATTTCTATGGTTTATCAGTTCAGCCATGTAAACTGTCGGCAGAAGAGATTGTAATCCGGCGAGTGATAAACGTTCCATTATACGCGGGTCAATAAGTGTCATAGAAATGCCTGGTTAATTCCGTAACTGGACTACTCCTTGTCTCAGATATTAACAATCACCTGGTTAACAGCACTGCTCCGTCGTAAGTTGGATTTTCACTGGATCTGTCTTTTGTGATCCACTGCTGCCATTTACAGAAACTCTCTAGAGTTCTGTCACCATGGTTTGTGATTGACAATCC